TAGCCAATCAGCATCGAGTGTTCACTTTCAGCGCTGAGGAGTGTTGAGAAAAGAAACCTCGTAAGGGAGGCTAGCCTCCCTTCTGATATCAACCAAGCATCATAGAGACGTAAATTACGCGATATTAGTTTTAACGTCTGCCGCTGCGCTGATAATGTACCAAGAACTTATGAGTAGCGATATTGAATATTTGATTGCCAACAGATTTATAAAGCTTTCATTTAAACAGTATATATACAAATTTAAGGAAAACAGCCTAAGCTGGATATAGCAGTCGGCTTAAATGGCGCAACAGGCAGCTCTCTTTTAACACACACTTTTAAGAAGGGATGGATGTTTGCTTCAAGTGATAGGCCAGGTAAGTGAAATTATATTATCTTGCTGTATGTATGTTGTTTTCTTTACGTTTTCTGACTAAAAGCAACCAAAAAGCCATTTTAAAGTGGTTAAGCAAATAATAATAATAATAATAATAATAATCGGCAGGGATCCCAGACCAAGTGTGCCTCCTCTATTTTAAAACCCACGAGCCGCCACTGCTTGGGAGAGGTGGGTTTTTAATGAGCTCTGATTAATCTACTTTCATCTTTGCTTAAAATCACTTTTATACTCTGTTTAAATTATATTTGTGACATTATTTTACATGTATATTTTATTATTTCTGTATTTCTATATTTTCACTAAGTTTGATCAGTTTTCTGTTGATCGATGCACTTGAAGCACGTGCTAATTGCGTTGCACTTTACATTCATTTAACAGAAAAGACAAGAAGGGCGAAAACACACTGTAAATCAGGTATGCTGTTTTGTCACTCATTGTTAAATAAATTTTGTATGAAAGTTTTATACCATTTTCCTTCCCTTTCTGCACTGTCTCTGCATGGGAGAGAAATGACAAGAAGGTAAAAAACACAATGTAAAGACTGTTTTGTGTTTTATCAGAGAGTAAAAGAAGAGTCGAACCGTCAGCTGATGTCCATCTGGTTACTACATTGCGAAACAAAAACACACAACGCGGATAACACCGGTTACACGTGGTGCCCGTGACCATTTCGGATCTTCAGATCAGCGCTTTGCAGATCCCCGTGGTTGCATGACGGCTCGCCGGCTTCGCCGATCTCCCCTCCCGGTCTAATCGGCATCGCTCGCAGTGGCTTTGTTTTCACGGATAAGGAGGGCGCGTGTGTGAGACAAACAGCGTGTGACATCGTCAGTCTGTTTCATCTTAAAGGAACGGTAAAGAGTTTCGTTTACTTCCTGATCGACGACTTTTCTCTCTGGGAAACTTTTATTCATCGTTGATTCATGTTAATCGAGAGAGACTGTGTTATAAGGACCGCGGGACGCTTCAGTGACATTCGAGCATTGCATGCTTTATCTGAACAGTATATTATGATTGACTGTTGATGCATTTTAAAGGGGTCATATGATGCGATTAAAATTTTTCCTATCTCTTTGAAGTGTTACAAGCTCTTGGTGCATAACGCCGCCCAAATGTTCACGCAAAGAAAGAAGGCGTACCTTTTATTCTCGCAGTAGTATTGTTGCTGCCGCCATGTCGTGAAGACACTGTGTGTTTCGTTGTGAATGTGAAACTACTTTGTTAGGCCTTCCAAATGAGGACGATATCCGCTTTGTCATGCCTAGGGCTGATCTGTGCTGGTCGATGAGGAAATACATCAACTTCGCGCTGTGGATCACCGGATCGGCTTCGGACCGGGGTCGTCACATGTGGTTGCTGCAAGCTACACCAAATACACAAAATAATGTTCTTTTTAGCAACATCATATGACCCCTTTAAATGTGAAACGGTGACTAATTGACTTATATATTTTATGTATTTTTATATATTATAAATATTTTACTTCCATCAAGAAGAGTGACGAGAATTTTTTGCTCTTTGAACTGTATTCATCCTAATAATTAACTGAGTTGGTTTGATTTAAAATCTCCAGGATCTTATATGAAAAATATATGAAAATTTGTGAATCAGTTAAGGTTTTGCTGTTTGAGGCATATTTGTAGTAATTTTTCATGTTTTATGTGTTTTCGCTTTGCTTTTGAGAGATGTTTGTGTATACTGGTAATGACGATTTCAGCCCTACGAAACAATCTAATGTAACTTTTCCAATGGGCAGGGGCGGTGGGCCTGAAATTGATCACATTGGGAGAGTGTCTGACATTACATCTCGTTGTTATGGGAGAGGGAGAGCATTAACTAATGTGGGTCGTGACTATATGCACACAGTTGATTCAGCAATCGGTGCTTCTGTAGGCCCAACAGCTAGCTCCACCCCAATCACACGCCCAGATACTGAACGTGTAATTTCTCCCGAGGCATTAGGGAGCATAATTTCAGATTTGGCTCAGAAAATAGGGGAGAGTATTTCAGCCAGCCTTAATACTGTGCACCAGCCCAGCCCAGTACAGGCTAATCCTCCTTGCCAGTCTCAGCACTCCAGTGAGGGTATTGATGCATCTAGTCTGAAGGTGATAGTTCAGCAAGATTCAGCACCTCCACCATTCTTCAGGGGCGATAAGAGTGATTAATTTACTGTCCATGAATGGGAGGATATGATGGGAGAAAATATGATGTGCAGTTATTTAAGCAGAATGAAATGCAAAACGTAAACTGGCTGGAAAAGCGAGAGATGTTGTCTAGGTGTCCCTACGAATCCACCCTGAGCTGAATGCCAATGAACTTCCATGTGCGGTGTTTGATATACTGAAACGCAACTTCAATGAGTTGGCTTACTCAAATATGCCTATGGCGGATTTCTATAATACTGTCCCAAGAGCAGATGAAAGTCCCATGGATTACTGGATACGTCTTAAAAAGGCAATAGATGTTGCTGATGAGTGCTTGCGGATACGTAATAAGAGCGTTGAGGATCCCGCTGCAGAAGCTGTCGTGATGTTTATTTCGCATTGTCCAGACCCAAGTCTTGCTATGTCTTTTCAGTTTAAACCAGCTGAGAAGTGGAGTGCCGCTGAGGTCCAGGAGCGGTTGGATAGTCATCAGAGGGACCTAAAGAGAGTTTCATCGAGGACGCAGCACACAATGTCTTTGTTGGCTTGCAACAAGTGTACTGTTACGACATGCCCCAATTCTGTGTCCAGTTCTCCTCAGCAGCCTGCTTCCACGCCAGCCCAGTCTCTGTCTCCTGTAAGTCATCTTAATCCTAATGCTGTTCCTTTCTCTCCAGACACCAGTCTTCAACATATGGTTGGCATGATGAATAGAGTCCTGTCATTGTGCACTGCCTCTTTAACTCCATCCAGTCAGGCTCATGCAGGCAAAACTTCAGACTTCAAGACCAACTTAGCCTCTGCATGTAGGGTCTGTAGATCCAAGGAACACACTACGTACTCACATTGTAGACGTCACAGGCTATGTCGTTACTGTCTCAGTCCTGGCCACTTTAAGAGTGACTGTCCCAAAGCAGCATGCCCTGCGACTCCCTCAGATACTGCTCAGTTAAACTGAATAGCCCATGTGATGAGAGGGGTAACATGGGCAATTTTAATGAAAATTCCCTCACAGCAGCAGATGTGCAAAATTTTTCGTGAACAGCTGCAATACATTGCCAGAAGACAAAACTGTTTTATATGTGGGGTCTCAGAGAGTTGATTGGGCAAGTGAGTTGTTTTATGCTCCTGTGACAGTTTGTGGCCATTACACATTAAAGGGGTTACTGGATTCTGGTAGTATTTCCTGCACGCTTAGTGAAGAGGGTGAGTCCAAGCTGCAAGCTGATGGTATTCTTCCACATCCTCAAGCGATTCCAAGTAATGTCATTCTGGTTGGCTGTGGTGGCCTTGCAATTCAGCCAAAGTGTACATACGACTTGGAGATTGAAGTCTATGGATTTAAGTTTGTCGTTCCAACTCTTGTAGTGCCTGGACAAAGGGACGAGTTCATAATTGGAAGCAACGTGATCAAATGCATTCTACAGAAGATGAAATCTCATGACAAGTACTGGGAACTTGTTTCCTGCAGTAACAGTAATCTTGAGTGTGAGCAATTCCTCGAGCTTCTGAGCTGCATCTCCCGATGGTCTGGCCCTCAGCAGCCTGATAAACTTGGTACTGTGAAACTCTGTCAGGCAGTCACTCTACTTCCCAGACATGAGTATTTCCAGAAATTGCCCGCAAATGTCCCTGTTTCCCCGGGAAGCACTGTAATTGTTGAACCAACCACTGCACGTTCAGCACCTAAAAACATTCTTGTTGGACGAGTAGTAACACCAATGTGGGGTGATCGATGGGTGCCAATGAAGATACTTAACCCTAATCCAACATCAGTGACACTTCGCCGCAACTCTAAACAGATTCCCTCGAAACTGGCTCGCCCACTGATGCAGTTGCTGAAAGACTATGGTCTGAAGGACATTGATATTGATGGATGTGAAGTTTCAGAGATGTGGAAGAGAAAACTGGCAGCTCTTATTGTGTCTTACCAAGATGTTTTCTCCAAGGATAAACTGGATTGTGGAGAGGCAAAGGATTTTGTGCACAGGATCCATCTTTATGATGAGCGCCCAATTACGTCTTCCCTATCGCCGCATCCCTCCTGCCCACTACCAGAAACTGAGAGAAGTGTTGTCAGAAATGGAGGAGAAAGGCATAATCAGCAAGTCTGTCAGTGAGTACGCATAGCCTTTAGTGATGGTCTGGAAAAAAGATGGTAATCTGAGGGTTTGTACCGATTTCCGCTGGCTCAATGCTAAAACCATCAAAGACGCCCACCCTTTACCACATCAAGCTGACTGTCTTGCAGCCTTAGGATGTAATGCCCTTTACAGCACCATGGACTTAACTTCAGGATTTTACAACATCCCACTCCATGTGTCTGACCGACGATACACTGCCTTCACAACGCCAATGGGGTTATATGAGTATAATCGTCTCCCTCAGGGCCTTTCCAATAGCCCCGCATCTTTCATGTGCATGATGCTCAGTATTTTCGGTGACCTTAACTTTTCCAGTCTTCTCTGTTACCTTGATGACTTGTTGGTCTTCGCTCCATCTGAACAGAAGGCACTGAGGCGCTTGGAGATCGTGTTTTCTCGATTGAGATCCAGCAACCTAAAGCTAGCTCCTAAAAAGTGTCACTTTCTGAGGAAGTCTGTAAAGTTTCTAGGCCATGTAATATATGGTACTGGTGTTTCAGTTGATGAAGAGAAAGTGAAAGTCATCTCTGCTTTTCGAAAGGAGGATCTAATGAAGGAAGATGGAACCACGCCTTCACAAAAGAAAATCAGATCGTTTCTCGGTATGGTCCTGCATTATCAACCCTTTATTCTAAGTTGTGCTGGTGGTCGTAGGAGAGCAGGCACTTTTCGGGAGTTCATCTCTGCTTTTCGAAAGGAGGATCTAATGAAGGAAGATGGAACCACGCCTTCACAAAAAAAAATCATATAGTTTCTCGGTATGGTCCTGTACTATCAAGCCTTTATTCCAAGTTGTTCTCGTATAGCCAGACCCTTATTCAATCTGACGGCTGGCCTGAAACGTTCAATGAAAGGTGCTGGTGGTCGTAGGAGAGCAGGCACTTTTCGGGAGTTGACATCTCAGGACTGGACCCCAGACTGTGATGTGGCCTTTGAGGAACTGAAAAGGGCCCTTGTTGACAGTGTGGTGCTGGCTCATCCAGATTTTGAACGTCCATTCCTGCTCTGTACTGACACTTCTTTAGACGGCATAGGTGCTGTACTCTCTCAGATACCTGCTGGTGAAGACAAGGCGAGACCGATAGCGTTTGCTAGCAAGGCTTTGATCCGCAGCCAAATGAAATATCCTGCACACAGATTAGAATTCTTGGCTCTTAAGTGGGCAGTGTGTGACAAGTTCAGTCTCTGGCTTAAAGGCCATAAGTTCACCGTGTGGACAGATAATAATCCGCTTACATACATCATGACCAAGCCGAAATTGGATGCATGTGAGCAGCGCTGGGTCTCGAAACTTGCTCCATATTCTTTTGAGATCAAATATGTTCCTGGGAAACTCAACGTGGTGGCGGACGCGCTCAGTAGGGATCCGTTTGTCAGGCCAGTGAGTCAGCGCCTTCTGTCAGAGCCCTATTCTGAACTGTTGAGGCAAGTGCACAGTGTTGGGAATGGAAGTGTGCAAGAAGTGTTCCGACTTACCTGCCAACCCAAACTTTAAGATCAGGTCCACTTGACGTCGTTCTGAATACATCATTGTCTGATGATGACGTGTCTTCAGTTCTGTCCTCCTGTGATGAATGGGAAACAGGAACTGAATGTAGAGCAACATCATTCACTGAACATCTTAACTCTTTAATCAGTGGTGACAAAGAAGTGTTTCATTCCCTTTCCCTGACCGACTTACGAGGACATCAGCACAAAGACCCTGTCATTGCTAGAGTGTGTTATTATGTTGACAGAAAGTGTAGACCAGGGATGGGCAACTGGCAGTATACGTATGGCCCGCAGTGTCTTTTAGTACGGCCCGCTGGATCATATTAGACAATGTATCCTGTATAGTGCTTATAGAGTGATGATTCTGTTTCTGTTGCCATACACAACCTAATTGCTACACTGTAAAGAGATTGCTCTTAAAATCATCCAGCTGCCAGTAAGTTACTGTCAAAATGTTTACAGTATTTTTATTGTATTTTCATTTACAGTACATTACTATTTTTGTTCATTTACAGCAGGGATGGGCAACTGGCGGCCCGTATACGGCCCGCTGGATCATATTAGACTCGGATGATCAATTTTAAAACATTTGAAAAGCAAGTCACGTAAAGATTGCTTTCAGTTTATGATGTTAATTCTATCTCCAACCAGGAGAGGTCGCTATTTCCAGCCGCTCCCCTATTAATTTCAGCATAGTAGGATGTGCACTCTAATGTAAACTTTCATTAACATTAGCAAATAATAAATGAAAACTGACCATGAAAACAGTATTTTCAAGTCAAGATGGTAAACAGATTATCTTTTTACCAAGTTCAAGGGGATACCCATATGTTTGGATTGTTTGGAAATCTGTATTTTATTTAAATCACCATCACACCACTGCTCACAAACAACGGGGACGCCAGAGTTGCACTTGTCTCAAATTTCAAAGGTAAAATTCATAGTCAACAAAAGCTTATTGCCAAATGCATGACAGAAATGTTTGCACTGGACTATGTTCTTATTGAATGTAGAGCAGCATCATTCATAGAACATCTTAACTCTTTGATTAGCGGTGACGAAGAAGTGTTTCATTCCCTTTCCCTGACCGACTTACGAGAACATCAGCACAAAGACCCTGTCATTGCCAGAGTGTATTATTATGTTGGCAGAAAGCGCAGACCATCAAGACGTGAACGTGCCAATGAAAACCTGTATGTGTTGCGGATTCTGAAGCAGTGGGACAAACTTTCAGTGCTCAATGGAATCCTGTACAGAGCTATTAAAGATCCGCTCACCAAGCACAAGAGATTTCAATTAATTTAAAATGTCAAGCACTTTCTGGCGTTCACGACCTGGCTGGTCATCAAGGACAGCCACGCACTTTGTCTTTGGCCCGTCGGAGGTTTTTCTGGCTTGATATGGAGCGTGATGTGCGTGATTATGTGAAGAAGTGTCCCAGGTGTGTCTTCAGCAAACTCCAGAGCCTGCAGCGAGAGCCGCCTTGGAGAGTATTGAAACCACAGCCCCATTGGAGCTCATTTGCATCGACTTCTGGTCTGCTGAGGATCTGCACAACAAATCTGTGGATGTTTTAGTAATCACAGATCACTTCACAAAGCTGGCACATGCATTTCCGTGTCAAGACCAAACAGCAAAAACAGTGGCCAAGAAACTGTGGGATGGCTTCTTCTGTGTCTATGGATTTCCTCAACGCATCCATTCTGACCAGGGGGCTTCATTTGAGAGTGAGCTGATCGCTGAGCTTCTCGAACTGGCTGGCATCGACAAGTCAAGAACCACCCCCTACCACCCGATGGGGAATGGTGGTACTGAAAGTTTCAACAGGACATTAGATAACATGCTGAGGTCCCTTCCACCTAGACCTAAGCAGAAGTGGCTGCAGTTGGTTCAGACCATGACGTTTGTGTACAACTGTACAGCGCATGAAACAACAGGTTTTGCCCCTTTTTACTTAATGTTTGGCAGAGTACCACGGTTGCCAGTTGACCTTATGTTCCAGAGTGTGCTGCGGGACAAATCGGTTAGTGACTATCACCAGTATGTTGCATCGCTCATCAGTGACCTCCAGTCTGCTATGTCAGTGGCGTAGAAGAATTCTGTTCAAGAACAAAAACACCAGTCCATCCAGTACAACAAAAATGTTAAAAGCCTTCTTCTAGCCATTGGTGACCAGGTGCTTGTGGCTAACAAGGGTTGTAGAGGGACCACCTACCTGCAGTGTCCCTTCACAGTCTGATCCGACATGCTCTGGCGGTCTAACTGCCCAGACCCACAGTGATGCTTCCTCCTGCATTGATGAGATTGAGTATACAAAGCCTGCAGATGAGCAGCATGAAATGAAGGACCTCTCACTATCTGGCTCTATGTCCAACATCTCCAATGTAGCTACATGTGATGATGACCGCACTGCTTCATGGGTGCATTCTCAGTTGCCTGGCCAACAGGAGCCAAATTCACATCTTGCTGTGCCAGTGGCCGATGACAATATTGTGGCAGGTGTTGGTGCTAAACCTTCTCCCCAAAATCCTGTCTCTGACAGTGTACCTGTTATGCAAAATCTTGTAGCTGATTTAAATACAGCTGATCGTTATTCTACCAGGTTTGGGAGAGTTATCAGACCAGTACGTAGACTTATTGAATCTATGGTTCAACTTGAAACTCTGTTAGGTTATGATTCTGGGTCTACAGTTACTCATGTTTGAATTTCAAGTTTGATTCTAAGTACATTACATTTTTGGAACTTACTTTGTTCATTTGTTTTTTTTCTTTTTCCAAGTGAAACTTGCCTTAATTGAGTATGTGGTCTAAGTGTACAAGGTGTTATGGGCACCTTACGAGTAGTGGTCGATCGATATTGGTTTTTTGACTGCCGATGCCGATATCTTGGAAAGCAGGGTGGCAGATGGCCGATATAAAGCCGATATAATTGTATTTATTTTAATTAATATTTAAGAAATTTGAAATCATTTGAAAATGGATTAAAAAATAAATTTGTAAAATAAACATACTTATACTTTAGATGACTATGTATTTTCCACAAATAAATAAATATTTAATAAAAATATAATTAAAAAGGAAGTAAACTGTAACCAACAGAGCACTCAGTATTCTGGGAAGTTTGTGTGCACTGGGAATCATATTTTTTCTAATAAAGCTAAGGTAACACTCATTTTACATACAGCACAGTGAAAATGACATGAATATGACAGTGGGCAAATGCATAAAGCGCAGCATAATTTGAAATCACGAATTTAATGTTTAAAGCATTCAATTTGCACGGACTGAAAGTCACGCAGAGAACACGCGATCATGCAGGATACAAATGCACACTTCACAAGATCTCACAACTGGATTCGACTAAGTTTGCAACGTTTGTGAAATTAAATTTTCATTAGCCATTCAAAGAATTGTTTAAATGATGTAAATGCGTATTTGCTGAATGCTGATGGCAAACAAGAAAGTATTATAATGTTTGCCATTCTATTACTAATAATATAAAAGCAATCGTTATAATACTTTTTGTATACATTTTATTTCCTTTGTTTAACAGTCCTATCGGATTATTAGACAGACTTCTATCTATATTAGACAGAACTACGACGACGGTGAACAAGAGGGAGAATGTGAGCACTGTGTGCTCAGGCGCTGCCGCTCTCAGCGCCGTCAAAATAAAAGTCCCGTCTCGAACGCATCGGCCAAACAGACAAACTTATCGGCCGATGCCGATATTTGAAAATGGTCGACCACTACTTATGAGTCTATAGAATGTGATGAAATTTGGCCAATTTCAAAACATTTTTATCCTTTTATTGGGTAGCTTTTGATTGCTGACTGTATTCACTGATTGTTTAGAGTGTGGACCATGTAATTCTTATGACCAGTGTACGAAGTTTTTCATGTTCTCAGAATTTTGTGTAATTCTAGGGGGGTGAGTGTAACGGGTATGGAAAGTAATGTTGATTTCATATGTAGAATTACAAAAATGTTCACGATGTATACCTGATATGCCTGTCTGTGTGTGTGCACCTTCCCCTTTAGATTTCTGACAGCATCGTTAATCTTAATTTCCTGTCTTTGCACCTCCTCTTCCCTTTCTGCACTGTCTGCATGGGAGAGGTGGGTTTTTAATGAGCTCTGATTAATCTAATTTCATCTTTGCTTAAAATCACTTTTATACTCTGTTTAAATCATATTTGTGACATTATTTTACGTGTATATTTGATTATTTCTGTTTTTTCACTAAGTTTGATCAGATTTCTGTCGATCGATGCACTTGAAGCACGTGCTAATTGTTGCGTTGCACTTTACATTAATTTAACAGAAAGGACAAGAAGGGCGAAAATACACTGTAAGACTGTTTTGTGTTTTATCAGGCATGCTGTTTTGTCACTTGTTAAATAAATTTTGTATGAAAGTTTTATACCATTTTCCTTCCCTTTCTGCACTGTCTCTGCATGGGAGAGAAAGGACAAGAAGGGCGAAAACACACCGTAAAGACTGTTTTGTGTTTTATCAGAGTGTAAAAGAAGGGTCGAACCGTCAGCTGATCCTGGTTACTACATTGAGAAAAAAAACACACACAACGCAGATAACACCGGTTACAAATGCATGTTGAAAAAATGTTTCATGAAATCGATCAATTAGAGTTTCAAAAAACGTCAATAAGCCTACCTTTTATTGCTGTTTTTTATGTTGAATGTGAAGAATGACAGGTTCGATGCCACAGACTTTTTATTTTATTTTATTCATTTTATTTTTTATATTATTTTAAATGATATTTTCCTCTTTAATATTTGCAGCACGAAATAAACATGAATAAATATTTGAATGCATGTTGAAAAAATCAGAACAATTTAATACAAACGCATGTTTCATGAAATCGATCAATTAGAGTTTCAAAAAACGTCAATAAGCCTACCTTTTATTGCTGTTTTTTATGTTGAATGTGAAGAATGACAGGTTCGATGCCACAGACTTTTTATTTTATTTTATTCATTTTATTTTTTATATTATTTTATTCAAATGCCGCTGTAGGCTATTTGTACTGCATGCAAACACAATCTTGGCACAGAAGCCCAAAAAACACAAACAAACAAACAATAAATAAATAAATAAAATACTACGGAGCTTTGAATTATTTATTAATTAACTAGTATTTTCTGAGTCAGTGTCACAAGATGAAGTTGACGATCCTGACTGGCCATCTCCTCAGGACGCACGCCTTTAGAGAGAAATACATCTTTACGGATTAGCCTACATAATGAAGGAGTTTTTGTTTTCTATTTGAATTATTTCGTTTCAAAGTATTTAAAGCATTCTATTAGATATATTTATCATGTCTGTGAGGAGGCAAGTATTCGCTGAGTTTCGGTTCATCATTGTGAAGCCAAGACAACAAAAACCGCATCCTGTTTGTTTTCCTTAATTATTTTACAAAAGCACAGGTTTTTGTTGATACTGTTTGTGAGTGCACACAAATAAAAGTACACCCTTTACAATTCCGATTTAAATTGTAGACCCTATTACACCTTCATGAGCAAAAATGATGGCATATGTTAAGTCTCCACTCTTAAGACAAAAAGGCAAGTGATCGCGCCGGCACCTTCATGTCCTAAACATAAAATGTTTCAAACATATTTCTAAATTAACTTAATAAAGAAACGAAAAGAAATATAACCACTTTGTCATTAAAAACCAAAACTGGACTAGCCTATTTGCGGCAACAGCAGCTGTGTAAAGGGGAAGAAAGAGAGAGAGAGAAAAAAAAGACAGGCTCGGGTCATACTCAGGCCAGGAATATACTGATAAGCTGTCGGAAGGGCTCTATTCATTCCCTCGTTTCACGGTTTCAATTAAAGTTTCCCCCTCGGCTCAGCGGGCCCACTATACGCCCGGGCCCATATGCACCTGCATACCCTGCATACAAGACGCTACACCCCTGCCTACAGAGGCGTGCATACGCGACGTGATGAAGTCTGGTTAGACCAACACAGGATTTAGTGTGCATGCGCATTTAGAGTGGTTCTTTCACTGCATGATTCAGTCTATTAATATGCATTAAGAATGATCACATAATTCAAGATATGGAGGCAGAAAATGTATATATATCAATTCATATAGGTAATCAATATCACACGAAGAGTGCCGTTTTTTCTTTAAAAAATCAGCATGGTTACAAATGTGATATTTATTTTATACAACAGTTCAATAAACAATAAGTTAATATCAAGAGACTTACGTTTTAGACACCATATTG